GGGTACTTTACGGGACCTTGTGTACACATTTCTTAAGATTTTCTAATTTCATAAAAACACTTCAAAAGCATCTTTTATTCCTCTTGATCAGATAAAATATCTTAAAAATCAATAGTTTGATCAAAATGTCATATTCTTCAGAAATTCAATATTCAGTATGACTCAAAATGACGATTAGTTCCTGCGCGTCGACGATTGTAGCCTTTGTAAGGACGCTACATGTGATCGACATTTTATGTGTGTATTATAGAATTATTAGGTAAACGAATTTGTACTCGTGAATCACGGTATGATGATCGTAGTGTTCCGAGATATCATGATTTTTTAGGTAAAAATAATTAACAGTCCGCTGTTTAAAAGCGCTGAATCACACTTATACGCTGTTTTATCTGATCTCGAGGAATAAAAAATGCTTTTGAAGTGCTTTTATGAAATTATAAAATTTTAAGAAAAGTGTGCACAGAGTCCCTTAAAGTACCCGAAAATGTCTAAACAATTCACAATAATTCGATGTTAACGACGAAACTACCAGGTAGTGTAAGGACAGCGGCTTGCTTTTTGTGATTCACCATAATAAAGTGCAGATGCGAACAACTTGCTTCCATTCCTTGTTCCTTTCATATACTTTAAAATTATGTATTGCGAAATAAATATTAAGTGCAGATTCTATCTTACGATTCATTGGCCAGAAAATAATATTGTCGTACTTTAAATATTGTCGTAATTCAAAACGATAAAGTACTGTTATCCATTTTTAATTTAAAAAGTATATTTTCAGATAAAATGTCAAAATGGCAGGCAAACGTAAACTGGAGATGCCCGTCGGGTACAGCATAAATTTTATTTTTATTCCAGCAACGTTTTATCCTCTATTAAAAATCGTAACAAATTGTAAAATTTAAAATTTTTAAAACAAAGGCTTTTACGGCAACCTAATTGATAAGCCAAAAGCGTTATAGTTTTTCCTAAAAACCTTTCCATTGTTTTAAGTTTAGAAGGCGAAAAATTAAAAAAATTTGTCATAAAATTTAATGCTCAGTAACCAAGAGTTTAAAATTCCTGATACCCAAGACCGTTGGGTGGCCGCAATGGAAAATTTGAACTTCATTAAATGTTTTTTCTTTGACATATAATATTTGGCCTTTCTTATTTTAAAAGGGCAGACTATAACCAAAAATTATAAAATGTGTGTTATCGATTTCTTCCACACTTTTCAAAATGGCTGGTTGCGGTTATTTGAAATAATTATTACTTGATTTAATTTACATTATTACATTGAGTTAGCATTCGCTTTTTTAAAACAAGTCCAGCCAAGAATCAAATGAAACTCCCCCAAGGATTTGATTTGCAACCCCCAAATGTTTGTAGTTTGAAAATTGTATAGGTTGATTACAAAACGTTATAGGTTATAAACAATTTTCTTAACGTAGACTCCTGTTTTTTCGAAAAAATAAATCATGTTTATGTCTAGTTTTAAATTAAATGAAATGTCCGTTTTGGAATGAAAATTAGTACTTCTGTAAATTCCATTTTCCCGACATTTTATGGAACGTTTTATAATACTTTACCCAAAATTTTCAAAGGTTCGGATTTATTAGCGCAGGATCGACAATATCGAAAGAGGAAAAACATGGCAGGTTGTCACGAGGTCCGAAATCGGTGCTTCAAAGCGTATTCAGGCTTTTCTTATCGATCCCAAACGGGGAATGCAGTTGATACTTAGTTGAAAGCGAACAACTGCAAAACATTTTTAGAAATAAACTGTACCTTTTCCGATTGGTCACTCGTTTGCGAAAAAAGGAGGGAAACAATTTCGTCCCATGGCGAATTCGAATTCAGGGAGTCGCAAATAAGTACCTTACACATCCAAAATTTTAGGGAACGCATTTCAAGCGGCGATGATTTTTTCAATATTGGTTTGCAAAGTATTACTTTGCGTATTGAATCCTGAGGCTAAGGATAGCAAAAGCTTGGAAAGGTTTTGCTTAAAAAACATGTTTTTACAAAAATTTCTAGGTTTCGTCCAGAAATTGTTGTAATTTCCTGACAAGTTTTTCGCAAATATATTAAAGAAGAAATTATCCTTGAAAATTACTGAAACATTTCATTTCATGATCTTGTTTCTTGCCACGAACGCTATCTTTTATCATAAAACGGTTTCCTTGCACCAAATTTTGGTTTTTTCAACGAATTATTATAACATATTTCAAATTTTAGGACGTCGTGCGGTATAGAGAAGAACATTCGCCTTTATGGCTGGTGGTTATGTGCCTCTGACCCAAACTTCCTCTTCAAAAACCTTTCAACTTATAATCTTGCCAAAATTGCGGCTCGTTTCCAATGTCTCCCTTTTCGGTACAGGTTTATTCAATACATTGTTTTCGAAATGACTATTTCTCAATTTATGCTGAACAATCAACCGGATTTTTCACAGCTTGGTATGCTGCGCTGCCAGCTAGAAGTTCAGGATAGTGGTTCAATTTCGGAATGTCTCGATTTTCATGGGCCAAGAATTGTGTTGGCAGAACATGCTAAAGATAGTTGCATTCTCTCTATAAACGAGCTCTGTTTTGATCACAATATTGAGGTGAGTTTTGCTTTGAACGAAGGATGTCCTGCTTCTGTTGAATTAGAAAGCTGAGCTCCATGTTTAATTTTGGTTTAATTTTGAGTCGGCGCCTTTGATATAACAAAATCTTAGTGGATGTATTAATATGTTTTGGAAGGAAAAAGAGAACGCAACGGAGATGAACACTGGTATAGTATATTCTCATTATATGCGCTAACTCAATCTCTACCACATAATTTAAGCAATGCTAACCTTTGTAATTCAATAAAAACTAAGCTTATATTTAAACTTGGTCATTATTTGGACACATTGCGCTTCGAAAAAATTATTGGAATCCCAATCCCGGAGAGACCGAATTCACGGAGATTGTCTGGATGCGTTCATGATTTGTTTTAGAATTCGCAGCGCGAGATTTTATACAGTATGCCAATTCAAAGGAATGTACTGAGGATCAAGCAAACAATCAAACCAAACCATAGAGTCACCGTCAGTTTGATTGAAGGTATGATTCTTCTTCTACATTGTTTATTTGCTTTTAAATTTAGATAAGCTCGATTTTACCCTATATGGGCAAGATGAAATCGAAATGAGCGAAAAAATTTTTGTACGAAGCAGGGTATTATTCAAAAATCAAGCATGCAGTCAATACTCTTTGGGGATTAGAATGAAACGTGAAAGCGACGAAGAATCGGGTAGTACACAAATAGAGACAGGTTTGCAGTAAAAGTATTGCCAAAAAATTTCTGAATCATATTTCATGGCTCTAAAAATATACATAGAATTTCTGAGAATGAACGACGTTTTTATTTTCTGCCATTTGCTCCTACCGAATTCCCGGAATGCAACTCAAATATATTATTGATTTTTATAGAGCGTGTCCTCTCAGTCGAAAAATTAAAAGTATTAAGGTGCATCTTCATAATTTTCAGGTCCTTCACAAGAGCTCCATCAGAGCTCATGTCATCAGCCATCATATCAAAGTTCAACATTTCTGGACAAGGCTGAATGCGTTAATGAAAGTTTGTGCGGCGGAAAAGCGGCTAACCTGGCCAGAATCATACAATACTGTAAATCACATGAATGTTCGAACGCGCCAACTTTTAAAGTGCCGCGAGGATTTGTAATCACCACTAGTTACTATGAAGAATTTTTGAAAGAGAACGCTGAAATCCGTGAAATACTTGAAAATCTATCTAATTGCCGGTAATATTTAAATCCGTTAATTTTCTTATGCTTATATTGCCATTAATTTCAGCACAAAGGAGGACTTATCAAAGTTTGCCTCGAGGTAAATTTACCATCTCTTTCCTCCAGTTTATAACATATCATTCAGGATTTTCGAGGTCGTCCAGAATTCAAAAGATTTCCTGTACAAAAGTAGCATCGTGCAAGAATGTGTGACGAAATGTTTTGGTCACCTTCCAAAAGCTCGTTTCGCTGTGCGCTCATCAGCGATAGGCGAAGATGGCACAGAATTCTCGAGCGCCGGTCAAATGGAGACTTTTCTTGAGGTTCCTCCTGAAGAAGTTGGTTTTTCTGAATAAATGTGATTTTGAAGTAGACTTTCTTCTTGAAATTCACTCATCAACTCTGTGTCGTGAGCCCAACTGCAAGGGCTTACCAAACTTAAGCCAAGTCTGGGGTAAATGATAGCTCATTACGCTTTTAGAAAAAAAGATTCTTAATTTTATCGATTAGTGATGTTACGATATTAGTTTTAGGTCTGCGAGAGAATTATTGACTGCTGGGCTTCGAATTTTCGCTGTGAAATTCTTAACTATAGATTCGAGAATGGAATCTCCTTGAACATTCCCCTGGCGGTAATTGTGCAGGAAATGGTTACAGACGGTGTTGCAGGTTAGTTTGACCATTATTCATTGATATTAGAATAAATTCGGATATTTAAACATAGAAAAAATGATGAAAATTGATTGTCGGAAAAAGTTAATTCCCTCTGGGGTTGGGCGCAATTATTCCTGGTATCCATACACTTATCTGCTCCATTTCTCTTCTTTCTCACATGCGCGTCAGTGGTGTAATGATTAGCATTGTTGCCTTCCAAGCAATAGACGGGGGTTTGATTCCCCCCTGACGCAAACACTTTTTGTGAAAAAGTAAGTATATAGTTAAAGTTCTAGAATACGAGATAGTTATTATGAGTTTTTGTTATCAAATTGATACGTACGATCAATATTTGAAAAATTAATGGTAACTATTTTTATAGTCTTCTAGTGTTAGAAAATGGAAAACTTACAACTTCAAAAATGTGACAGCGCACAGCTATCATATATTATTATGTCCATATTGTGTTTTGCACTCACAGAGAGCAACCAAAAATTTAGGGGAATGGATAATAGGCCCAACAGGTCAAACTCACTATTTAAGCTTAGAGTTTTGAGTTGAAATTTGTTATTTAGGAGAAAAAAATATTTGCGTCAGGGGGGAATCAAACCCCCGTCTATTGCTTGGAAGGCAACAATGCTAATCATTACACCACTGACGCGCATGTGAGTAAAGATGAGAAACGGAGTTTACAGATGAACTACTTCTCGCAATATTGCATGCATGTGAACTACGAATGACTATCTGATTGTTAGATTGTTGATACTTTATTACATCTTCGAAACAATTGGGGATAATGTTTTTAACCCTTCATTGCCGAGCCGGGTGAGACCCTTATATGCCGAAGCGTAGGAGTTTCCTGATTTTTGGTATACCGGGCCCATTTGGGTCCCTGATAATGGGAAAAATATTATTTTTTTAAAAACCCCCCAAAAATTCCAATTTTTGGGGGGTCAGAAGTTGGGATTTTTCCGAAAATCCATGATACCCCCTATGGTTTCGAAAATTTCAAAAAAATTTCGAAATTTTTAGATGTCTAAAAAACACTTTTTCTGGTCAATTTCGATGCGCTGAGCACGAATCTGAAGTTAGTTTTTTTGTTGAGTCTCAAAAAAATTTTTAAAAGGTCATTCTCGAATTTTTCGAGAGTGCACCTCGAGAAAAAAATCGCAAAAATTTTTTTGATCTAAAACACAAAAACTAATTACATATCCTTATTCAGCACAAAAAGTTGGCTGTATAAGATCAATATCAGATTTGAGCTAGGAAGCCAAAAAATTGGCCAAAAATTACTCCAAAGTTGTTGTGCATTTTCGCAACGCTCGGAATAAATGGGGGTCACCATTTGCGTTGCGTTTTTGATAACACTTGGAAATGAAGAGTTAAGATGAACCTTTTGATTAATATGAGATGAATATGACTACTAAAAGTTTCTCAAAAGAATATGTTTCTGTTTTTGAAGTGTTTCGGACGTTCTCTGTGAAAAAAAATTTTCGGGATGTGATAAGCTGAACCGTTAGCCACTTTTTTGTAATTTTTCCATCCATATTTTAGGAGTATTGTTCACATCAGACCCCGTTCAAAGAAACACGTCGAAAGCTGTTATAAATATGGTGCAAGGACTCGGGGAATCCTTAGTCGGGGGCCACACTACGCCCACTCAAGTCATCGTCGACAAAACCACAATGCAAATCTGCGAGAAAAATTCGGAGGTTGGCATCTTGATTTTCTTTATTTTATGTCGGAAAATCGAATATTAAGGATATTTTATTGGACGAAGAAACATGTCAAAAGTTGGTTCAAATAGGAGCTTTCATTCAAGAAAACATTTTCGCTGGAATTTCGCAGGATATTGAATTTGTTGTCAAGAACCCGCCCAATGGAGAGCCCGAGATATTCATTTTGCAATCTCGGTGTATTACAAGTCTGGATCTGGAATCCGACTGGGAGCTTCATCACGAATTTGACACAGCGCTGTTCTGCGAGTCGGATCTGGTCACCACCGCCAATATAACGTACTTTTTACTAACTTAAAGGGCTTGCAAAATTATATTCAATAATATAAATACACTCAATAGTTTTATTTTGATGTTGGATAAAGTTATACATTCACAGACATTTTATTACACATCTAAATGTGTACTTAGTATTCCTACTGTTCATATTACTTTAAATCGAGAAAACCGAAAATTGGAATAATTTTTTAGGGAAGTTCTTCCGAATGTCCAGTCACCGCTCCACATCTCATTTTTCAATTTATCACTGAGTGGTCGAATACATGTACGTTTTTATCAAACAATTATCGAGAATATTGACAGAAAGTAAAAGTTGAACGGAAACAGCCAACTTTTATTTGTCTCGTATGAACTAAAATTCACTTTAACGTTTTTCGTCGAATACTAAAACCACCTCTCTATTTTGTGATGTATTGCTCCCTTTTTTAATTGCCCTTGTTTCAGGATCTCGTACAAATGGACAGTCTATTCGGGACCGCCATATCATTCAAGCACTATCCTTGCTGTCTAGCTGTCCATAGACAGCGCTCATTTCTCAATCTGACCGAGGTTTACCGTCATACAAGCTCGGTAATTCAGGTTCTATTTTTGTTCGACTTTAGATTTACCTGGCTGACTGGGAGGTGCCGGAAAGAGATCACATCGGCGAGTATTCATTGGCAGGTCATAAGGTTTTCACGGAAGAAATGATCGAAGCGGCCAAAAAGCGATTTCCGCCAAAGTCGGGATTGACCAAATTGTACAGACTGTTCAAAGCACTTAAGGTAATATTTTTCTTCTTACGATATTTTTTGTGTGAGGCATTGTTTTACAATCTCCATCAATATGTCAAAAACGTGTCTATGGCTCTCTTTTGCGACATTAAAAATTCACAGCTAACGACTATGAAATTTCTGTCAACAGCTATTAAAAATAAGCGTCTCTCCAACTCAGGAAATAACACAATACTTTTATGCTTACAGCGGAATACTTTTAGTTTACGGTACGATTTTAGTTGTTATATTTCGACTCACGAAAGTTGCTGGGAAAGGCTAAGCATTTGCTGAACGAAAGTGCTGCGATAAAACAGGCAATTGACTCAGCAAACAAATCGGAAACATTGGCACATATCGAGCACCTGCATAAAATTTGTGATCAGGTAATATTCCATAGCCAACAGTTTTGCAAAAATTTAAATTATGCTCCTATACAGTCGTAAATTTTTCAATACTACAGGCTATGTTCATCCATACATCGGAGTCAACCTTTTCCAGTATCACCTATACATTTGTAGCCATGTTGCTAAGGGGATCATCAGGTTTATCCTACTTGTATTTTATATAATAAATCTTTCATTTTTAAATCTTAAGTTCAATAAAATGAAATCTTTTTAATGTTATCTTGAAATGTTTCTAAATTTCTTCGTTTTGTCTCATTTCTATTTTCAATATTGTCTTTTCAAATTGCAGAAGGTGATTTGACCCCAGAGGTTCTGTCAGATATTGCTCTAATCTACTCACATAATCCTTTGGAGGTTGTTAGTGCTGATGCCGCCAAAAGAATAGAGGTTGGTTCTCTCTACAGTTATGGCAGAATATCACCTAGGGAAATTCAACTGGGGCGATTCAAATTCGCACCCGAATTTGGTCGCATTGCTCAACCCTAAGCTAAATTTGTTTGTGGTATCTTTTAGCTTTTCTTGATATAAAAACACTTCCCGGGCAGAATCTCAGTTTAACTGTCTTAATTACACTTTTCCCACTTTTTTCATCATGACAAATTGCTTTAAATTAAATTTAAAAAGTTAAATGAACAGTTCTGGCATCATAGCTTTAAAATGCCTTAAGATTATTTTACACTATGGGGGCCTGATTAAAAATTTTGTCTACACGCATACCTCTATGTTCTAAGTTCCCTCACATAGGGGTTTAAGGGGGCTAAGTTCCCTCACATAGTGGTCGGGCGCTCCGTGCCCGACCACAGGAACATTGCGAGCCACCTGCAGTGGCTCGCAATGTTCAGACTTTCCAGAAATTTTTTACTTACAGACAGAAATAAGCACCCCTGAGAATCGACTTTCCAGAAATTTTCTCATTTCTCATTTTTACGCAAAGTCAACGGTGCATCAGAATCCGGGATCCTGAATCCAGATACCCAAAATCTGACACCGGATTCGGATTCCCCGTATCCGAAAACCATTGAGTACCAAAAATTACGACCTGAAATGGCAAAAAACCGTAAATTACAAAATTTGTAGTTTGTAGTCAAAAAAGCGTGACCAAAACCTTACAGACAAAATAAGGCATCAAAGATCATGTTCGGACGCCGGACGGATCACGACTTTAGCTTACTTGGGTGATTTTCGTGAAACACTTTCCCATAATCGAGCCCCTCTAATAAACCTTCTAGATCTCCCTTGAAGCATTTTTTACTTGAAATTGCTTATGGGTGCACTCCTGTCAAATTTGCAAATTCAGTATTCTGATTTACCGAGATTTCAGAACATAGCGAAGCGAATATTCAAAGATGGTCATTTGCGTGAATTTACGAGCTTTGACGAAGCGACCACCGCTTTCAAATGGCTTCGCTTACAATCAAGCGAAATTGAAACAATGTTCCGAGATTTTTTCGTTAAGCATGGACACCGCGGATTAAACGAGATGGACTTCCTCGGAAAAAGCTGGGATTCAGGTTAATACATTACGCTCATGTTTCAATTACTCTGAAAACACATAATTTGTAAGGTTTAAAAACTTAATATTTTTAAATTTAAAAGCAATTTAGATCCTGAACTCCTTTATCGAACACTCAAGGTCTCTTTTCTTTTTATTGGCTTTTATAATTAATAAATATAAATAATTAATAAATTTCCCGGAATGCAACTCAAATATATTATTGATTTTTATAGAGCGTGTCCTCTCAGTCGAAAAATTAAAAGTATTAAGGTGCATCTTCATAATTTTCAGGTCCTTCACAAGAGCTCCATCAGAGCTCATGTCATCAGCCATCATATCAAAGTTCAACATTTCTGGACAAGGCTGAATGCGTTAATGAAAGTTTGTGCGGCGGAAAAGCGGCTAACCTGGCCAGAATCATACAATACTGTAAATCACATGAATGTTCGAACGCGCCAACTTTTAAAGTGCCGCGAGGATTTGTAATCACCACTAGTTACTATGAAGAATTTTTGAAAGAGAACGCTGAAATCCGTGAAATACTTGAAAATCTATCTAATTGCCGGTAATATTTAAATCCGTTAATTTTCTTATGCTTATATTGCCATTAATTTCAGCACAAAGGAGGACTTATCAAAGTTTGCCTCGAGGTAAATTTACCATCTCTTTTCTCCAGTTTATAACATATCATTCAGGATTTTCGAGGTCGTCCAGAATTCAAAAGATTTCCTGTACAAAAGTAGCATCGTGCAAGAATGTGTGACGAAATGTTTTGGTCACCTTCCAAAAGCTCGTTTCGCTGTGCGCTCATCAGCGATAGGCGAAGATGGCACAGAATTCTCGAGCGCCGGTCAAATGGAGACTTTTCTTGAGGTTCCTCCTGAAGAAGTTGGTTTTTCTGAATAAATGTGATTTTGAAGTAGACTTTCTTCTTGAAATTCACTCATCAACTCTGTGTCGTGAGCCCAACTGCAAGGGCTTACCAAACTTAA